TAAACGCAACATTTGAATTCATAGTTTTTAAACTAATATTTTCCTTACATCGATAAAACAGTTGTGTACTCAGAGCTTTGTCTTATGCTGTCATTTTGATCATACGACTTTTATTACACACCATTGGCCTGCACGATTACTGATTACGCAATACCGAGATTGACGTTCGTACTGTCTAACTGCGCATGTATGACTTTTTCGGCGACCTAGTATAGGAACTTATCAAATGAGGGCAGACAGGAAATCTAATCTTAGTTGTAAACCCCACAACATCTACCATGTATCATATCAAACAAATGCATTTCTTTCAAAAAATGCCAGCTGTTGCGCGATGTTCAGGTCAATGGTTATCGTTTTGTAAACAATGTTTAAATCCACCGTGTTTCATTTCGTGCTTACCCTGAGAAGGAAATCACGTAGAAATGTCCGGATATGCCCTCTGAAGGTTGCCGACTTGCTTTGTTGTCTGAACATACTGATAAATCATAAATTGCGCCCTCTAGTGACGTAGATTGGCAAAAAGAAGGAATGCGTTCATGTCATTATCGTTTCGATCTGCAGTCGCCCGAAAATAAAACATATTTGCTATATTCTAAAAATCGACACAATTAATTACAGTTGTCACTTTAAACTATAGTGATTTTGACCCTACTACGTTATAGACCATTTTCTCGGAAGTCGAAGATATGGCGTTTCGTTTTGGGGTTAAAACTTGCATGCGTGATATTGTGCTTCTGGGTGTACCAATCGACGTCACAAATATACAATTCCCGTATATCGAATATCAGCAAACTGACATGTTTGTATTTTCCGCAATGACAAAGCAGACGTATTTCTGCATCCCACTCTAGCTACTTCCGGGAAACTGGTCTATATCTCAGACTAGTCTGAGTCTATATCGGCGTCACGGCGAATTGTCGCTAGAGGGCGCCACTTCTAGGAAAGTTTTGTGTTTTCTGTCATTAATGTCCTTACCAACAGAAAGTATCCAAATATGTATATGTAATGTAAACGATGTAATATATTACAGTTTCTACTTTCTACATATCCAAATATTGAGTGAACGTGTTTACATCAATTCTGTGAGGACGCATGCACAGTCCCGTTGTTTTAAACGGTTAAATAACAATGATAACGATGTCACGGTTAAAGCGGAAAGGTCGTCACCTGCACACGCGCGGAAATTGAGTGCTAGGCAATTGTCCTCGGCGACGATACAACGCATAGTAAAACGCAGTAAGTAAGACTCGTAGGTGGAACCTTGTTTGTAAACAGTGACACGCTATGTTCGCCTGACGCATGCGCAGGGGACAACTCCTCCGCTTTAAGTTCCAGATAAGATCCTCATCGTTTAGTATTCGGGAAACGTTGCCAATTAATGATGTAAAATTTCATCAGTACAAAGTTAAGTGATGGATTTATTGCGTGCTTGTAACCAAGTAACTGTTTCAGCTCTTCATAGAAGAGACACGACCACTTCTTTGATTCTCATCTTCAGTTTCTTTCAACAGTTTTTTTTTTGAGTTTCTTCAACTTATATCAGAATCCGTTCACTTGTTCAAAAGCCATGCCACAATGATTTAGTTGCGAAATTTCGTACACCATTTTCCAATTCCTAGTCGATCTGTCAATCTGTCGCAGTATTTCTTCATCCGGCCAAATTGTTGTTTAGGCGCGTACATCTTTGTCGAGCCAGAAATAAAAAAAATACACGATCAAATGAAACGTCATTTGAAGAAGGAGATAGAGGGTGTGATTTCGGCCTGATGCATTTACACTATCGGACCATGTCGAAGCCCATATGTGAGCTCAACCCCCGGATTTAACGAAGCCGAGGGCGTTGACACGGCGATTTTTGCTAGCTCGAGCCGTTGGCCCCCGATAAAAGATGTCGTGTAAACGAGTTAAATCCAGAGAAATACTGTAAACCCATATTTCACTGCAAGTTACGAGATCGAAAACTCGTTCATTTTCTGCAATTTGTAACTATGAATATAATAGTACTGATTGTATGCCAAATCCTTTATGATTGTTTGAACATTGGTCAAGATTTCCTTGAAAACCTAGTTAGATTCGAGTCAGAGAAGAAAAAATAAAAGTCTTTTCAAACTATGAAAACGCACGGATGACATTCTAATGCTGATGGAGAACCAGTTGATTGAACAGCCCAATGGCTGTGGTGGCGTTTCTATCAAAGTCTCTACGGTCAACTCGGTTATCATCGAAATCCTCATAGCACTCGAATGGTACAAATACATCGGTTATTAAAAAAATCAGTATTGTCAATGTGTGTTTTTTTTTCTAACACGACACACTGCTGGGCATCTGTGATGTCAAATTTGTGATTAACGTATTCGATTAATTACTAGCATTCAAATAAGTAATTAATGCAATATGGGGGTATAAACTGCAAAACGAGTAACAGCAAAAAATGGTCTCAAGTAATGGGGAGTTGTATAGTTTGTTACCGATTGAGGGAGTACCATCAAGTTTTCGTGACGTTCATCTTAAATTGCCAGGGTATAACGTTACAGCTTACTGCCTTCACGTAGTTCGTGAAGAGAGAGATGAAACAGTGGCGGTGGCACAGAGGGCAGAGGGGGCGATGGCCCCTCGAAAAAAAAATCAATCTGAAACCCTTTGTGTCAGCAAAATTTGCCCCTCAAAATGCAGGAAGTGACGTTCTAGATTTCTAAATTGTTAAGGGGCATGCCCCGGACCTCCTAGTAAGGTCGAAACCCTGCGAGCGGGCGATGCATGTCGTTCACATTATTATTGCTCTATTCTGCCATGTTCAGTATTTTTTTACATTGTTCAGGAAAGTCACAACAACTAGCTCAACGCACCGTTTCCAGAGTTATCGGCTTTTGTTTTCACCGGTGATGGTTGCCAGGAGGTGACAATTCCCGGACGCTCGCCCGAGATTATTTCGCCATAGGTTAAAAAAAATTGCTACGGCATAGCGCCCTCTGTTGACGAATTGTTAAAACCCGTTTAACAAAAAAAAAAAAAAAAAAAAAATCGCCTCGCCGCCCCATTTTTAAGAAGCATTTGAACTTGTTAAACAAAAGTCTCAGAGCCAAGTACTTGGATTTCCGCAAAGTTTCCATTGTGGTGTTTCTTGGCAGGATTTCGGCCATGACATTCGGAGTTACATTCAGCTAGGATTCAAGGACAATCTCTGGTTCAGTTTCATATTAAGTTGAAGTTCATTTGCTTTGTTAATAGAAACAAGATAATACACCAATTTCAAATGAGATACGGTAAATTCGACAAGTTGTGTTGTACCCTGACAAGATCGTGTAAATTTCGCTCTCCGCGGTGCTCCAAACCCAACACACGCCTGACAGAGCGATGAAGTTTTTCACTTCCCCCGGTGGGGTCTGATGCCGTTCGGCCGGCGAGCGCGCCACTCACGCCTACATGTTAGGCCAGTTTTGTAGTTGTTCATTTTTTCTTGGCGTTGGCAGATCAGATCACGTTACTTTATATCCGTTGTTGTAATTTCAAATGGCACGATAATCTGACCATGCTTTGCTAAATTCAGCGCTCCCAGTTGTGGGTATTGCTTGACATCAGAGACTAGATTTCAGAGTTTCCCAACTAGTAATGATACTAGTAGTACTAGACTAGTCGTGGAAATTCTTTTGTTTTATATAATAATTCCTCGAAGAACGAGTTCGTAGAATCTCCAGCGTTGATGCGAAATTTTGCATCGGACCAAGATTTGAGAAAGAATCATAAAATTGTCATGGCTGAGCCTGTCTACATTGTTCCATTCATTGAGGTCGTGTGTGACATTCATTGACGTGTGACATTCATTCATTGAACGAAACTGTTACATGTTGTCAACATATGCATGATGACAAATGTGAGGGGGGCTGGTACAGGTTACAGAAGAAAAGCATTTTACGTTTTTACAGAAAATAAAATGAAAGTTTCATTTACAGTAAAAAGTAGTTTTTTTTTTTACACTTTACAGATAAAGCAAATTCCTAATTACATTTTACATTTTTATAATATATTTGATAATTTGTGTTTAAGAAACAAAATTGGAAATTCCGTGCGAATTACGACATTTAATGTGGAAAATAAGATTTTTGTACAAATTACGGACGAATAAAATAGCTGATTACATTTTACACCTTCGCCATGTCTACGAATTTACAATTCTTATTTATTTAAATTACGTTATTACGAAAATAGAAACAGTTGATTACAGCTTACGAAAACACTCTTTGCCAACCCTCAAATGTGTTTTGATTCTCATTTCTTCTTACAGTGTACACCCATTGTGTGCGAATTTAGTTTTTCCTGTTACTCCTCGATAATTCCAGTTCCCCTAATGGGAAATGGCGAATGAAGCGAGGAATCATAATCATGTCTTTCGGAGAAAACTCAACCCGACCGACCCTTTGATAAGACCTTTGATAAGATAAATTAAACCATCCTTATTACAGTATGTACAAGAGATGATTTCTAGGAAACTTAAAAATAATTATAATAATGAACGTTCGAAAACTCCGTGTGCATGCTCGGCGAATCACCGCGTTCGAATCGTAACACGATTTCCGGTTCGAATTACATGTTTCATTCAGTGTCACCCGACAATCGAAAGTTTAAGTTGTAGGAGGACGGATGTGAAACTCCACGCAGATAACAATAAAAAAGACTGTTTTCCTCTTTTGATATGATTACTGTATACTGTATTTTTATTCTCACTTTAATTGTTTTTGTCTTTATTCACATCTGTAATTAAAGATAATCATTGTTATTACCCCCGACGTGTTGTGTAGAGTAAGACATTTATCGGTTATTCATTTTTTAAAGATTAATATACAAATTCAATTTCCTTCGTTCAGAAGAAATGTTGCATTTCATTTTTAAGAAATTACTCGTCAGAAGCCGAGTGAAAGTGGGCGTGCTACAGCACTCATGTCTAGCACTGTCGCTGATTGGCTCCAGTTATTTGACACGTGACCTCTTGTATAAAGATGGTGGCAACCTGAAGCTGTTGAGTATGGACTTCGGAGTGGTGTTTATTTTGTTGTGGGTGTCTGTCAGCTGACGGCCTGCATTGTTTTCGGATAGCATAGACTCTCACATAATCGGCCAGTGATCTTTTTCTTCGTGCACTATGGCAAAACTACACAACAGCGTGATCGAAATGTGCGTAGTCGTGGGAATGGATGAAAACACAGGGTTGAAACCGGCGAATGAACAGGTAAATCACAACATCGGCTGTAATTCCACATGGAACTCTGTGTTTGGGTATCGATTTTATGATCATCAGTGATAAACTAGTTCATGTTTACAGCGTGATGTTAAGAAATAATTTATAAGGGATGAGCAATTAGAATCATATGGGGGTGGGGGTGTTGAGCATTATTTTTATGTAGGAAGTTGACGTGTGGGATTACTTTTCATACATGAACGTATGGGTTTACATGTACAGATATCGTGCTTACTACGATTAGATCAGAATGTTACACAGAATGAAATAGAAGATGAACTGCACTTTGTTGTGATATGCTCACAATGTAAATTAATACATTTTCACAAACACAAGATTATTCCCAGAAATTTAATTTCTTGATGACTTCAAAAGATGATGTAATAATAAAAAAAGGGGCATCGATAGTCATAACTCATTTCAATCAAGAAATTATTATTATTATTATTATTATTTTTTTTTATTGATTTGTGGTTCAGCATCTCTCTTCCATGTGCAGATCTTGTTTTCTTATTGTGCACAGTCATTTAAGGTTTATCAAAAATATCCTAGATTTATTTTTTAAATTTATGAATAAAAAAAAATACAATGCTTAGGTCTCTTTCTAGAATTTAGAATATGTGTTCCAATTGGTTGACCTCCTGGAGGTTATTTGAATTAGTCATGTGGTCAGATGTAGTTTGAGGGGACTTTTATCTACTGTAAAATCTGTATTAGAATCCGCGGTTTCTATTAAAATGATACAATGCAACAGAGGGGATGCGGTTTCTATTAGAACATCTGAGTACACAAATGAGAAATTTAGATTTTTTTTTGTTCTCAATTGTTCCAAAAAAATGGATGCAATTTCTATTAGGGATGCGGCTTCTAATACAGATTTTACAGTACTAGCATTGGATTTCAGATGATCAGATTAGTATTTATACTATCATGGCTTGAACTTTTGCACCCAATTTCAAGGTCAAAATAGATAAAACTGGACCTAGAACAATGTATCTGTGACTTCTTGTAGAAACTTTATTTTAAATTATTTTTGTTCATTATTAGCAATAAATATTAGATATTTTGCATACTTTCAGCACAACAACTTTCCCTTCATGTTAATAAATATTTATAAATTTCAATGGCAGTTAAATCCAACCAACCAATAAAAAGAGTGCACAGTGCACAGGGAATGAGTTGTAAACATTCCAATGCTATTCACTCAACCAATTGTATGCCCTTATCTAACAAATCCCTTTTACTCCCTGTTCTGATGAAATAAAAAAATTAGAAATTATGGATTGACCTTTGTGCATCTTTGTGTCCGTATGTGTCTGGTTGTATCTCACACATGCTGGGACTGATTAAGTTCATACTTCAATGATATATCAGACATTATATTATACCAGTATATTGATGGTGTTAATCCATTGATTTGATTGGTCCAAACACAAAATTTGCATATGCAATCCATGGTATATTGGCTGATAATGCACGGCTAAACCAAGTGGCCCTGGAACATGAATTGACTACAGGTTTAATACGGAAATACATAAAACCGGTATTATTTGATTTTTAGGGAAATATAGTGGTTGAATTTTGGAAGAATATTGAAAAAAATACTGAATTAAAAACATTTGAAAAGTTATATAACTATAATATTGCTTTTTGTTAATGGTGGGATCCAAGTTGTGAGCGTCGGTCGTTGGGTGATTGTCGTTCGCCACACAAACCTAAACCACCGTCTGAGGTGCCTACACGAACGCCAGAACGCTATGTTCTCAGTGTTGTTACTTTGAGATGGATTGCGAACTTCCAACAAAGAAAACATGATCTTTAAGTACAAGATATAATTGAGGGATTTAATGACATAAAAATGCAAAAAACTATGAGTCACAGGCAAAAATGTATGCCACCAATAACAACCGGTGTCCGGTAGCGGCAGCTGACAAAATTGCAGTGCACCCGGGTAATTGCCATCTGTTTCAAAAAACACGGGGCAACGCAGGATTCGACGACGATATATGGTATTGTAATTCTCCACTATGGGTAAATAAATTACAGGAGATCATGAAGATAATTTCGAAAGCTACAGATTTGTGACGAGTGTTCACCAACCACTGTATTAGAGCGACGGCGTGCAAAGTCTTTCGGCCGGAGTTGAGACAAGGCATATCATGTACGTGTCACAAAAACGATGCGAAAATCCGATCTTACACCATCAAACTTACCCGAGAACAACAACAAAACTTGTCAGTCATACTGTCACAAAACTTTGGTTATACCAAAGGTATCCAGGTCAGATGTTGGAACTGAGGTCGCTGTGCCGGTCGCCGTACATGATACACCGCGTCCCGCCGCGTCTCAAATTTCGGTCAAACCAAGTACTGCTGA